TACCACACACCAGAACAGAAGTGTACAAGACCTCCTTCTCCTCCTTAGCCATCCGGCTGTGGAACTCATTACCAGGAAGAACAGTTGATGCCAAGACCCTGAACAGCTTTAAGACCCAGCTGTCCAGTGCCAATCTCTAGTAGAAATCACAACTGCGCTTTTAATATCTTTTATTTTTTTAATTTTAACGAGCACTGTATATAGACACTCACCCCTAATGCAGAATGCGATAATACTTAAATGGTTTGTATTGAATGGGAAGAAGAAGATATCTGCTTTGATCTATAGGCCAATATTTCAGACATTAGAAAAGGCTTAGGAATATCCGTTGCGATCGATTGCTACTTGCGTGAAGATTTTTTTTGTTTTGTTTTGTTTTTTTTGTTTTTTTTTTTCTTTTCATGTATCGCTTTAGTACTAGTCAACAATGCACATTTTCCCGAGGAATGAACTGCATCGATCTTTTCTGCAGTATCTCTGCCACATATGTCGTAAGTACCACTGACTGAGGCAAATCCCTCACTAAAATTTTAAGAGTTTTCTGAAAGTGCACTTAAATTAATTATGTGTTTCGATCTTTAAACAAAATTAAGATTTTAAACTTTTGTTTCCTTTTCTGTAAATCGATCATATCACCAGGTGCTTCATTATCGTGTTGAAAGCATGTAAAAAAAAATATAATTCAAAATGTAAAAAAAAAAAAAAAAGATTGTCTTTCATTGCCTGAAAATACGGGTTTCACCCCCCCCCCCTGAGAATTATCCTGGTTGCCTCCAGATCCCTTGCCTCACTAAAAATTTAAGCCTAGTAACGGCCTTGCCACAATAGTACTATTACAAAAAGATGTTCTTGAGAGCAAACGCAGCAATTTTGTTCGACATGATTCGACATGAATACACAGGGTACAAGTAAAGGGACTTACACACAAGATAAGGTATATATATAAACTGAGGACCTAATACACAGGGTACAAGTTTGGGGACTTACACACAAGATAAGGTATATATGTAAACTGAGGACCTAATACACAGGGTACAAGTTTGGGGACTTCTTACACACAAGATAATGTATATATATAAACTGAGGACCTAATACACAGGGTACAAGTTTGGGGACTTACACACAACATAAGGTATAAATGTAAACAGATGACCTAATACACAGGGTACAAGTTTACACACAAGATGGGGACTTCTTACACACAAGATAAGGTATATATGTAAACTGAGTATATATGATAAATATATGTAAACTGAGGACCTAATACACAGGGTACAAGTTTGGGGACTTACACACACAGATAAGGTATATATATAAACTGAGGACCTAATACACAGGGTACAAGTTTGGGGACTTACACACAAGATAAGGTATATATGTAAACTGAGGACCTAATACACAGGGTACAAGTTTGGGGACTTCTTACACACAAGATAAGGTATATATGTAAACTGAGGACCTAATACACAGGGAACTAAGTTTGGGGACTTCTTACACACAAGATAAGGTATATATATAAACTGAGGACCTAATACACAGGGAACTAAGTTTGGGGACTTCTTACACACAAGATAAGGTATATATATAAACTGAGGACTTAATACACAGGGTACAAGTTTGGGGAGTTATATATGGGGACCTAATACACTTACACACAAGATAAGGTATATATATAAACTGAGGACCTAATACACAGGGAACTAAGTTTGGGGACTTCTTACACACAAGATAAGGTATATATATAAACTGAGGACCTAATACACAGGGTACAAGTTTGGGGACTTACACACAAGATAAGGTATATATGTAAACTGAGGACCTAATACACAGGGTACAGGTTTGGGGACTTCTTACACACAAGATAAGGTATATATATAAACTGGGACTTACACAGGGAACTTTTGGGGACACACACAGATAAGGTATATATGTAAACTGAGGACCTATATGTACAGGGAACTAAGTTTGGGGACTGAGGTATATATATAAACTGAGGACTAATACACAGGGTACAAGTTTGGGGACTTACACACAAGATAAGGTATACACACAAGACAAGTTTGGGGAACACACAAGATAAGGTATATATATAAACTGAGGACCTAATACACAGGACTTACACACAAGATAAGGTATATATGTAAACTGAACCTAATACACAGGGTGATATATATGGAGGACCTAATACACATGGAACTAAGTTTGGGGACTAATATATATAAACTGAGGACTAATACACATGGAACTAAGTTTGGGGACTTACACACAAGATAAGGTATATATATAAACTGAGGACCTAATACACACACAAGGGTATATATATAAACTGAGGACCTAAGTTTGGGGACTTACACACAAGATAAGGTATATATGTAAACTGAGGACCTAATACACAGGGTACAAGTTTGGGGACTTCTTACACACAAGATAAGGTATATATATAAACTGAGGACCTAATACACAGGGAACAAGTTTGGGGACTTCTTACACACAAGATAAGGTATATATGTACACTGAGGACCTAATACACAGGGTACAAGTTTGGGGACTTCTTACACACAAGATAAGGTATATATGTATAACTGAGGACCTAATAGGGTACAAGTTTGGGGACAAGGTATATATATAAGTTTGAGGACTTATACACATGGAACTACACACAAGATAAGGTATATATGTAAACTGAGGACCTAATACACAGGGTACAAGTTTGGGGACTTACACATTTTATACATAGAATCTCTGTGTATAGAACTTGTAAGCTTTATGATAAACGAAATGACCAACTTAACTTCCCTTACTTATGCAGCAATATACATGTACCTTAAATGTCACCTGCACCAGATTTTGTATCTCTAACATTATCTACATATGAATAATTTCTAAAACAAGGTAATTTATCAATCGACGAAAAAGTTGGTGAAACAAGAATTTCAGCATTCTCGTTAAAAGTCGTCATATTTCATAAGTTCTGTGGTGATACAATGACCGTGTCACAAAATACAATTTATCATTAATTAACTCAAATGCTAACTGACTGTTGATGCAAAATTCAAGAAAGTTCGTTTAGACATTTCAATTTAAGGGACGGCCATTTGATTGTGATGGAGGTGGGGGTGATTTTCGAAAGAAATCTATCCTCGAAAATGTCGAAAAAAAATCTGTTCTCGACTTAGGAAAAAAAATTCGTCCCAGACCAGTGCTTTTACACTCCCTAACCCCCTTCCCCACTCCACGAATTAGAGGTTTTAGACTGTTGTTTTCCTTTTTTATCTATTTTTTTTATTTGATTAAATACTTAGATTTTTTTCCAGTGAAGAAGAAAATAAGTAATCTGTCCTCGATCTTGTTGGAAATAAATAAACTGTCCTGCACCGACATGAAAATAAATAATCCGACTCGAAAAAATGTGCCAGGCACCCTCTTAGAATCAAATGATCGTCCCCTTAGTCATTTCAATTCAGATCAGAATAATTAACCGAACTGAAATAAAACAAAATTAATATAAAAAAAATGTTTAAATTGATTCCTTATTTTGTAAGACATCGCCACTGAATAAATAAAAAATATGTCTTATTTGTCTTAACAATTTAATTCTGCAATACATGCATTTTTAATATTACCCATTATCCTTTTGGCATCTCTTCCTCTCTCTCTTTCTCTTTCAAGAGATATTACATTAAACACATACTTCTATTTTATGGCGAAAAATGTATACCAGTCATTCAGGTAACAGAATGATGAAAAATCTTTGACACTTTGTCACAAGTATTTTTATGCACACATGTTGCATTTTGCAATAATGATTTTTATTTAATTCTTGTGATTTTCAAAAATATGCCTCTAAACAAAAATCGAAAAGGTTAGTTTTGATGAAAATGTATGTTACAAGGCGGCGATTTTTTGGAGCAATGAGGATTCCCTATTTAAAACACAGACAACTTGATTGTTATACCTTTAAGAATTTATTCCTATATAAATCTAAGAAAAAAGACATATTTATGTTTTATCAAAAAACCCAACTCTTTACATTCAATTCACATAAGAAAAGTACAGGGATATCAAAGTGTTTATAAAGAATGAAATATGTATTTTTGCATATAACTTGAACTGAAGATACTTGATCAAAAAATAATTGAAATGATTAACATTTTTTTCACTTTCAGAAAGGTTGTGTATGTGATGCTTAATCATTTTTTTGCAAAAATTAACCTAATTTGAGAAAATTTCCTTTTGCATAGAATATTTAATACTTCAAAATCATTTATCCTACATACATCATACAGCTTCTTTAATGGAAAATCTAAGCAAGTTTAGTCCATGTAGGTACCCTATATTGTGCTGTTCCAAGTTTTTTTCTTTGTTTCATCCAACCTTAATTTCAAATCATTTTTTCTTTTGCTATTTAAAAATCACAAACCAAAAGGGGAAAAAACAACATTTTACGCAAAGTTCTAGAACTCCTTTAGTATCATTTGAGAGTTTTCCTCGTTCCTCTATTATAACAAAATTTAACTACTACTACTAGTTTAATGAAACAAAACAAAAACAAAAAAAACTTAGGCACTTCACTTTTAAAAAAAAAGTGAGATGCTGATCCCAGAAGAGTAAATTGCTTGTCAAAGATTTGTATTTGTCAATTTTATTTTGTGTTTGTTCTTAATTTGCATGACCTCAAAACCAATCCATCTGCAGACACTAAACACAGAAAAAAAATGGAATGGCCTAATGATAAAACTGCTGCAAAGAATTCAATGTCCTCCATTACTGTGGCTCTAAAACAGTTTTTTTCATATTTCTCAAAGTATATCAATTGAAAGTAGAATGTTAATCAAGATTTTCTCTGTTTTTAACAAGATTATATCCTCTCTCTCTTTCTCTCACTCTCTCTCCCTCTCTCTCTCTCTCTCTCTCTCTCTCTCTCTCTCTCTCTCTCTCTCTCTCTCTCTCTCTCTCTCTCTCTCTCTCAAACACATGCATTCCACGTGACTGTCCTAAGGTCCTATTACAATTTTTTTTAGAAAATCTTTTCCACAATGTCTGTTGATTAAATTCATTTTTTATGATGTCCTTGGGATTTTTTTGTATCTCTTGTCACTTGCATGTAGAATCTTCCACAGTAGATCTAGGATCAGAAATGACTTCTTCTTCCCTAAAATGAGATTTTCAGAAAATAATTTTCCTTGGTTGGTGGTACGGTCTGTACAAAAAAAAAATAATAATAAAAATAGCTTTAAGAGTTAAAGCAATTTTTTTCAACTAAAATATAATCTGGCAGGAGAATGATTGTTTACTAGTATATTTGTGATACATAGGTACTTTCTTTATTTGAATGGTCTGTGTACTTGAAAGCTTTGCTATATAAATTCACATCCAGTAAAATATTTTGTTGATTAGGAATTTAATCTCAGCTAACTCCTCCATCTCCATTCAGAAGACATATTTATGAAATGTTATGACTCTGAAATTGGTATAGTTCAATCAATGCAAATAACTAGTGTCTGAACTATACTCTGGCCTATCCTTGAATAGAAACACCTGTTTGCATTTTAGACTAAAGCTCTACTAGTAATACTCAATATCAAGTCTTAAGAAAATTTTCCATGCATGTAGACTGGCTGGCCATGTTGGGTTTCTGCAAATAATTTCAAGTTAAGAACTAGGGATGGGTATCGCCAAAAATTTCGTATCGCGATTTATTATATACCTAATGTGTATCACTCAACTTTACTGTAGATTTAACGCAATCACGTGACGTCGTGATCCAACTTTCTGCGGATCACCAACATGTTGTTTTCTGAAAGAATAATCTCTGCAATTAAAGCTGAAAACATTGGATCTGAAAATTACATTTAGTTACTTATCTCTCATTTATAAAATAACTTTTAAAATATCATAAATATAGCTGTCGTTTACCAGTAGAAGGCAGAAGCACAGGAATTTGTGGACAGGACCCCCCCCCCCCCCCCGATATTAAACCCCGTAGCTTATTAGACATGTACATGGACGTGTATAATATGAATAAATTTCATAACCCCAAAATTATCGCTCCACCTCCAGTATACATCTCTCTTATAACATATAGGGGTTTTTTTTGGTGGAGCATCTTGTTTATTCATGTTCACGTAGTAATGATTAATATTTATTTTCCATAGTTGTACACCACTCTCTGAAACTGATGACGTAGTACGCAGAAATATGACGTTATTTTTCTTGCGCGTTAAAAAGTCCCTTGTAATTATGCTTTGTTTATTATTATACAATTGATCTCTAAAGGTTTATTTTAATATATTAAGCCAGTTATAAGGGGGTATATAATAAATTTATCATTATAACAGTAACTTGATCCGAAGAGCCGTATCGCGTCTCGTTAGATCTGATGATCCGCGCCTGTCAACTCGACGTGATACGACCCTTCGGATCAAGTTACTGTTATAATAATATATATATATCACGATTTTTTCCGACAATATCACGATAAAATCATGGTATTTTTAAAAGCAGTTTTTACAATGATTTTATGTGAAAAGTCATTATTTTTCTTAAAAAATTTGCTTGAAAAACAAAATTTTATTTTCTTGAAATATTTATGTATATAAAATCAACTATGTTTGGATGGTAAGATGCCGTTCTTCTCACGTTTATCAACATTCTTATACTTTCTGTAATTGTAATTTGAAAAGATTAAACAAAAAAATGAATTATTTCTGAACTTTATAATATGTACATAAATATATATTATTATAACAGTAACTTGATCCGAAGGGTCGTATCACGTCGAGTTGACAGGCGTGGATCATCAGATCTAACGAGACGCGAAGCGGGGAGTTTGTTCTGATTTTCCGCGCCTGTCAACGAGACGTGATACGGCTCTTCGGATTAAGTTACTGTTATAATGATAAATTTATTATATACCCCTTCATAACTAGCAAAATATAGTAAAAGAAAACTTTAGAGATCAATTGCATAACATTTATCCATAAAACAAAGCATAATTACGAGGGACTTTTTAACGCGCAAGAAAAATAACGTCATATTTCTGCGTACAATGTCATCAGTTTCAGAGAGTGGTGATATGGATTCAGAAAACAACATGTTGGTGATCCGGAAAATCGGATCACGACGTCACGTGATAGCGCAAATTCAACAGTAAAATTGGGTGATACACATTAGGTATATAATAAATACCGGTATTTAGGTCTCTGTATCACGATACATATCACGCGACAAAAAATCGCGATATACCGGTATACCGATAAAATCGCATATCCCTATTAAGAACCTTATTGCTTAAAATGGGTAATGCAGTGTGTATACAGTACCTGGAGTGACGGTGTGGACATCCTGATTGTCTCGACTATCATCTATCTCCTCCTCATTCTTATTCTCATCACCCAAACAAAAACAATGCCATCAGTTTCCTTTACTGCCTCTGAAAAAAATTGCAACTTAATTGTAAAATTACAAACATTTCAACCAGAATAAAATGTGTATGTATATGATAAACTTTTGAGCAATAATCAACAGCTTTGATCCCAGTAATTTCAAACAAGAGGTCCAGGGGCCACAACGCTCAACTGAGCAAATCAGCTAGGAAAAACCACAAATCAGATCAGTAAAAGTTTACTGAAAAGGGGGGAGGGGCTTAAATTAATCCTACTTTACAATGCCTTCATATAAACACAGCATATGACTTTACTATTCTTGATAAAAATATTTTTAAAAACATTTTCTTCATATATATAACTTCATAATAATTTGAATCTGATTCCCCATTGTTTCCCTTCTTGCCCCAAAGGGCAATAATTTGAATAAATTTAAATCCTAAATACATGAAGATGCTTACATGTCAATATGACTAAACATAGCTTTTCTGTTCTTGGGATTTCTCCCTTTATTTTTCTATGTAAACTTTGATTCAGAATTGTGGCCCCACCCTACCCTTAGGCGTTATTATGGTTTGAACAAATTTAATTCTACACTACCTGAGGATGTTTCAACATAAATATCACCAATCATGGCTTTGAAGTACTTGAGAAGACAATTTTAAAAGATTTCCCTATCTAGTCCTATGTAGAACTTTGATGAGCCATTTTGGCCCCACCCTACCCCCAGGGTCATGATTTAAACAAACTTGAATCGACACTACCTGGGGATGATTTCATATCATTTCCTGGGGATGATTTCATATCATTTCATTTCAGGAGTTTCATATGGCTCTGTGGTTCTTGAAAAGAATCAATTGGTTGGTGTGATAATTTGCATAAACGCAGAAGGCATTTATGCATTAAGTTATTCTGCAAGCCAATCGATTGATCATTGTCATGAAATTGAAAATGACAGTTATTCTTTATATTACAGAGAATTGATTCCGCCAATATACATGCTACAAGCTCTCCTTCTTGTCTCTATATTTGTTCCGCCCTGCACGTGATTTTTTTTTTTTAGCAATGAACAAGTATATTGATGGAGAAATAAAGTGCATTAATTTGACTATTTGTAATTGTCTCTTGAACAAAGACATTGGAAATGAAAATATAATTTGACACAGGAATGAATTTAGATTTATATTATTTGAAATAAATTCAAAACATTTATCAATACGGATAAAGGTTATTTGTATACAATGATATAAGTGTGATTACATCCAAACAATATTTACTGCATGCAATACTTTTGCCTTAGGCTTCTTAATAGATGTGATCATGAACCAACAAAAAATTAATTCCCTAGTATATCTTTATCTATCCTATTTATTTCTTAAATTCCTAAATAATTCACCTGTAACACTTTTAATGATGAGGCTTTTCTTCCTGACATTCTCCTAGCTGTGGAACCTGGAACATATCCATCACTAGTCCTTGCTGAGTTGCATTAACTAATCCTCTAGCAATATTATCCAGCTTTGCTAATATCTGTGTTGTCTCTATGTTCAGGATGGACTCAATCTTCTGGTTGCCTTGAACATTCTAACAAAAAAAAATCATAAATTTAATTCAGAATGTATTGGAATTTTTTTTAAAAGTGGAACAAATCTTTAATACATGTTGTAAAAGCATTTTTATACAGAAATTTATCAATATTATTCTCAAAGTAAAAGTTTGTAATACTATTGAGTTCCCATTTCTATATAATAAGGATAGAAATTAAATGATCAGGGATTAA